TTCCCGGGGGCGGCGGCTGCGTTTCAGGAGCCTCCCGCGAACTTGCGGAGCGGGTTTGCGACTCACAGCTGGAGTCACCCTAAGCTCGGCGACACTCGGGCTGGGTGGGGGGTCCGGGGGGTTGTGAGTGTTGGGTAGTGATTTCAGCTCTTTTAGTATTTGTCCAGCAGTCCCTCGCGCAGCGAGGGGCCCTGAGCGCGTACAAAAGCAGTGGGTCTTGGGTGGGGTTACAGCGCAGGGGGCCTTATTGTTCTGAACGCTGTGCTGCGCCCCGGCAGCAGCTCCTCCGCGCCTGCAGGTGGCGGTAGGTGCCTGAGGAGCCCGCGCCCCTCCTGCATGTCCAGCCTTCAGCGCCCCATGGCGGCCTCGGCCCCGGCCCCTGCGGCGCCGCTGAGCGCGGAGCAAGCCAAAGGTGAGCATCTCCCGTCGCCTTGCTCGGGGGCGGGCAGTGGCGGCGGGGCTGGGGGGTGCCGAGCCCCCCCCCACGCCTGTGCCCTGCCCTGCCCGCAGTGGTGCTGGCCGAGGTGCTCAAGGCGTTCGGCGCCCCGGAGAACGCGCAGCGCCTGGACGAGGCGCGGGACAACGCCTGCAACGACATGGGCAAGATGCTGCAGTTCCTGCTGCCCGTGGCCACGCAGATCCAGCAGGACGTCATCAAAGCCTACGGCTTCAGCAGCGACGGGGAAGGTGGGGTTGGCCCCTGCCCGCTATCCCGTGTCACCAGGGGCACCCGGCTGCCGCTGGGCGGGAAATGGCTGCCTGGCAGAGGGCCGGCCCCTCAGCTCTGTCTCCCCCCACCCCCTTCTCTCTCTCTCTCTCTCTCTTTTTCTCTCTCAGGGGTCCTGAAGTTTGCCCGGCTGATAAAATCCTATGAATCTCAGGACCCAGAGATCGCCAGCATGTCTGGGAAGCTGAAAGCCATGTTCCTGCCACCCATGACGCTGCCCCCACATGGGTCGGGGACAGGCGGGGTGGCAGCCTCATGAAGCTGGGACCCTGTCCAGCTCCAGCTGAGCATGAGGGCGCTGGTTCCTGGCATCCCGGTTGGGCTGCGGTTGTCCAGCTGCAGGTGGGGCCCCAGGAGCCCCCAGTGCCTCGGAATCTCAGAAGCTTCTTTGTGTGTCTGCGGCGGTGTGTTTTACGTGCCTGCATGAGACAGAGTGCTGCTTCTGCTTGTGAATAAAAGTTGTTTTAAGAATGGTCCCATTGATTCCCAGGGCTGTCCCCTAAGCTGTTTCCAATGGGTGATGATGAGGCAGAAGGGAGGTTTGCTTTCCTGCTCCTCCCTCAGCAGTCCTGCCCTGCTGTAGCTCTGCTGTCAGGGCATTCTGCCTGAGCCTGGTCCCAGGAAATGGAGAGGAGACAACTCCCCCCCATGGTACAACCATTCTGCCTGGGAGTAAAGACTTGGTACCTGGTGACTTTTGAAATAGAGTGCAGCACAAGGAATGCTTTTGTTCTGAGGGTAGAGCCAAGTGAAACCATTCAGGGGTGGAACAAGAAGTTCAGGGCTACGCGCCTAACCCCAGCCTGTCAAAGGGAAAGTGTGGGCACTGCAGCTCTGTATAGGCTAGGTTGTGTTAGAAGCAAATTAATAATCACTTAGCTATTTAACATGCTAGTGCAGACAGCACTTAACACAGTAATGTGACACTATTGCTGAACGCAAGCGTTGAATGTGGTTTTAAATGTGCTAAGTTTCATAGATTTCATAGACATCAGGGCTGGAAGGGACCTCGGAAGATCATCGAGTCCAGCCCCCTGCCCAAAGGGCAGGAAGTCAGCTGGGGTCATAGGATCCCAGCAAGATAAGCATCCAGTTTGCTCTTGAAGGTGTTCAATGTAGGCGCTTGAACAAGCCCTCTTGTGGCAGCTCGCAGCTACAGCTCCTAGTCCTGCCCCTGCTCACCAGGCCTCTTGTCACAGCTCCAAGCTAGCACTAATGCTGATCAACCTTTGTGTAGCTCTCACTATAAGGTGTGGCAAGGCCCTTACAAGGGAAGGCTGAAAGAGTGAGGGTTATTTAGTCTGGAGAAGAGAAGACTGTGGGTCAGGGGTCAGGGGAGTGGTTGATAACATTCTTCAGATACCTGACAGGGGATCCTAACAAGGCTGGCAACGGGCTTTTTTTATGGCTGTAGGGGACAGAACTAGGAGCAAAGACCTCAAACTGCAGCAGAGGAAATTTAGGTTGAAGATTAGGAGGAACTTTCTGACTATGAGGGTAGTCAAGCATTGGAACAGGCTACCTAGAGAAACGGTGAAATCTCCATCCCTGGAAATTTTTAAGAGGTTAGATGGACACTTGGCTGGGATGTTTAGTCAAGGATGATCCTGCCTTGAGCAAGGGGCTGGATTAGATGACCTCATGAGATTCCCTTCCAGCCCTACTTTCTAATATGATTCTAATGTGCCAGCAATGCAGAAGCATAAGATTACTAGGTGTAAACGACTGCAACTCAAAGTACTTTTCTGTCCCTCATTTCAGGCTATTGCCACACATTAGCCATTACACCAGGGCGTGATCTACACATTAAGTATAGCAGCAGCTACAAAACAGGGTCCCCTAGTGTAGATACAGCTTTGCTTGCAGGAGTTTTTCTGGCCACCAGGACTAAGCGCCTCTGCACCCAGCCTTCTGTCTCTGTGCCAGGGCTATGTCAGCAGGGTAACATTGGCTATAGCATAAGATCTTCTGCTACCCTGTAAGCATCAGTGCACTGCCAGTGGACCCCTGTAACATGGGCAAAGGCTACAAGAATAAACTGAGTTCAGGAAGCTTCTAACCAACACATTTGAACTAACATAGTTTTAGATCTTTTAACCTTTTAAAAAAACATAACAGCACAGAGCTGTCCAGTTGATGGGCCATGAGAGGTTAACATGCCTCCCACGCTGGCGGGACTCTCTGGGGCAGGGCAGCATGGCAAGGAGTATGCTGCCTGCTAGACTCTGGCAAGGGGGAATTCCTTGCTGTGGGGCAGAGGTTCTTGCCCATGTGGTGGCAGCAGCAGAGCAGCTGGCACAGCAGTAGCTGGAGACTTGCATTGCTCATGTGGCAGGGGTCCCAAGGTGCCCACATGGCCCCCAGGGCATGCTGCCTGTATGGTGTGCAGCCCAGGGCCTGCGAACTGTGTGGCATGCAGGCCCTGGCTGCTGTGTATCTGGCCAGCCCAAACTTGATTGGGCCCTGGTGTAATGGCTGTGTGGCAATAGCCTGAAATGAGGGACAGAAAAGTACTTTGAGTTGCAGTCGTTTACACCTAGTAATCTTATGCTTCTGCATTGCTGGCACATTAGAATCATATTAGAAAGTAGGGCTGGAAGGGAATCTCATGAGGTCAAACTTGGGCGGACGAGAATCTGATGGTGCTCAACGCTGATAAATGCAAGGTTCTCCACCTTGGGAAGAAAAACCCGCAGCATCCTTATAGGCTCGGCAGTGCTATGTTGGCTAGCACTATGCAAGAAAGAGACTTGGTTCACCGTTTCTCTAGGTAGCCTGTTCCAATGCTTGACTACCCTCATAGTCAGAAAGTTCCTCCTAATCTTCAACCTAAATTTCCTCTGCTGCAGTTTGAGGTCTTTGCTCCTAGTTCTGTCCCCTACAGCCATAAAAAAAGCCCGTTGCCAGCCTTGTTAGGATCCCCTGTCAGGTATCTGAAGAATGTTATCAACCACTCCCCTGACCCCTGACCCACAGTCTTCTCTTCTCCAGACTAAATAACCCTCACTCTTTCAGCCTTCCCTTGTAAGGGCCTTGCCACACCTTATAGTGAGAGCTACACAAAGGTTGATCAGCATTAGTGCTAGCTTGGAGCTGTGACAAGAGGCCTGGTGAGCAGGGGCAGGACTAGGAGCTGTAGCTGCGAGCTGCCACAAGAGGGCTTGTGAGCCAGGGTAGGATTCTAATTCGGCTGTATGGGTAGGGGTATGAGAGATCCTGGGATACTGGAGGACTTCAGTTTGGGCAGCACATCTGTGGAGAGTGGCCACACCTTTGTGGAACATTAAACCCATGAGATTCAACAAGGACAAGTGCAAAGTCCTGCACTTTGGACGGAACAATCCCATGCACCAGCACAGGCTGGGGGCTGACTGGCTGGGCAGCAGCTCTGCAGAAAAGGACCTGGGGGTTACAGTGGACAATAAGTTGAATATGAGCCAACAGTGTGCCCTTGTTGCCAAGAAGGCTAACGACATACTGGGCTGCATTGGTAGGAGTGTTGCCAGTAGGTCAAGGGAAGTGTTTATTCCCCTCTATTCAGCACTGGTGAGGCTACAGCTGGAGCACTGTGTCCAGTTTTGGGCCCCCCACTACAGAAAGGACAAATTGGAGAGAGTGCAGCAGATAGAAACAAAAATGGTGAGGGGGCTGGGCACATGACTTATGAGGAAAGACTGGGGGAACTTGACTTATTTAGTTTAGAGAAGAGGAGACTTAATAGCAGTCTTCAACTCCCTGAAGTGGGTTCAAAAGAGGATAGAGCTAGGCTGTTCTCAGCAGTGGCAGCTAACAGAACAAGGAGCAACAGTCTCAAGTCACAACAATGATCACAGCAAGGGAAGTTTAGGTTAGATATTAGGAAGAATTTTCTCACTAGGAGGGTAGTAAAGCACTGGAACAGGTTACCCAGAGAGGTGGTGGAAGCTCTATCCTTGGGAGTTTCAAAACCCAGATAGACAAAGCCTTGGCTGGGATGATCTAGTTGGGGCTGGTCTTGCTTTGAGCGGGGAGTTGGACTAGGTGACCTTCTGAGGTCCCTTTCAACCCTCACTTTCTATGATTCTGTGATTCTAGGAGCTGGGTAGTGTGGATCAGAAATAATCCTGCCCTGGAGTGGCATAACTTTGAGCCACAAAACCGTGCTTAAAACCCCTTTAAGATGTTAACATGTGGGGACAACCCAGGGGTTAAGAGCTCCAGGAGCTGCCCAAGTTACTGTGTAACAAGACCCTAAGTCATGTTTCTCAGGCCCTTGCTCATTTTTCTTATCCTGTGCTGCATGA